GAAATGTTTGATAATCTTGTGGAAGTGGCACTTGGAAACAGTTTAATGGTGAACACAGTTGTAGTGCTGTGTCCATGAATACACATGGTGATTTAAAGGCCTTTTCCAGCCTCACCAATTCCATGATTTGACACAGGCTGGTCATTGCTGCTTGACAAGGCTTTTGTGCATCACACCTCCTGCCTGGCCTCCTTCCAAATCCTCCTCTTGCAAAGAAGCCCCAGGCTCAGCTTGCTGGAGCTGTCCTTGCCACGCTTACACAAACCCAGCTCACTAAAGGTGAGTAGGTTGGGAGATGTCACAAAAGCTGGTCCATCAGCAAATTTGATGGACCAAAAGCAGGTCAGCAACATGTGAAGTAAAGGGGAAAGTGCGTCATCAGGAGTGACAACCAAAACAGGATAAAAGCTGTAAAAAACATTAGTTCCTTGGCCTTTAGTTCTTTGCTGAACTCCAGCCGTATGAAACAGCCCAAAAGCAAGCTCCATGTCAAAATCAACATGAATTCACCCTGCAGAAGTGCTGGAGCTGGCAGATGCTTCATTTCAAATCATTCTTCACCCCACAGCTTGCCCAAGCCCTGCACGCTGTGGCACACGACTTAACTACTCATTTCTCTGCTCCTTTACTGCTGGTTGCAACTTCATTGCAATATAAAAGGAATTTAACAAGGATATCACTCAGATGCAAAATACAAATAGACTGAAAATACATTAATTAATCTGTGGTACACCCTACCTATTCCTAAATCAGCTCATCACTTTAGCTCTGCACTTCACTAACAGATGGGATCTTCTGGCAGCCTTTAAACCACTCAAAAGCACTTTCTCCCATAACAAAGCAAATAATTACTAGAATAAGATGCTATTTCCTATCTATTTATCTGCTATTTTTAAAGAATCAGTTCGCTGTCTGATTCAGGATTTGCAGTGAAGCCCTCAAACAGCAAAATTAAATGCACATTGGTACAATGGTACAGAACACACTAAATGAACTTCATAAGGATTTTGCTCACCAAATGCTTCTCCCTTTCTCTTTAGGAAACTAAAGATCATGGATGCAAAGATAATCAACACTTAGCACTGGCTTAATGTGCTGAATCCCTGAACACAGCACAGCAAAGACTGCTCCAGCTCTGCTCTAAAAGATGCCGAAATAATACTTTTCCAACTTGGATGATCATTCTTTCCCAATGCAACCATTTTCTTGTTGACCTTGCAAGTGCTTTGCTCAACTTCAGCACTTGCTTGCTAGGCTGTGCATGTTTTTTCCAACGTAACTTCTTGCCTTTAGCAACTTCAAGATAGGTGGAAATCAATGTCAAAATTGTAAACTTCCCAAATTCTTTCAGGAAAGCTTCTGGGCATGGCTGCAGAGGATTACAAGACTTAGATTAATCTGATAACAAGTCCTAAAAAAAACTGAGCTACAGCAATACCACTTCAGACACTTGGATGAGTCCCAGGCACCCAAGGAAGTTAAACACACTTAGAAAAATAATTGCAATATTCAGCACCTCTGAACGCACAAAGAGCTGCAGAGGGAAGCCAACAAATTTTGTAATAACTAAGCAAATGTAGTGGTAGATTTGTGATTCAGTGGGTATTTGTTGAGTGGCAAATAAACCAAAGCAGCTAGTTACGTGTTGCCTAGCTGCAGCCTCTAATAGGAATTGCTTCCCTGCAGGTAAATCACTTTCTATTACTCCTAAGTACCCCAGGAAAACTACTAATTGAAAACACAGTTCTAATACTGTCCAGCTGGAAAACATTAGCTTAGGATGGAACTAGCTTGACACTGGCTGCCAACTGGCTATGGACAATAGAATAGGAAATTAATCTTTTGCAGACAAGACATACCATTTTCCACTTCTCCTTTGTAACCTTCAAATCAACTTGTCATTAACCAACGGCTTTGATTCCCATGGGGAAAGAAAAGCATCACTGAATTCATTATAATGTGAGTCTGGCTTTCTTGCATTAAAATGAAGACTCCAATTTGGATATAGTGGATGGCAGAGAAACTGGAGGGCAGATACAACATCCAGCACCACGGTAACATTTCCCTCTTTTCTTGGCTAAGAGTTAAAGAACAGCCAGACCACAAAGCAACCACAAAGAGAAGCACAGTTGTCCAATTCTGTATTGTCCCATCCCATCTTCCTGCTGCTCCCTCCTGCCAAGAGCTTTTTCCTGTGCAGGTGCAAAAGGGATGAGGAGAAAAACCCAAGCTGCTGGCTACTATTAAACCATAAAACCCCATACATATTCAGACTGGTTTTTCATTTATATTTGAATTCATTTCCCTGCAGGGACCAATGGGTGAGACTATCTCAGAAGCATCATTCCCCAAGTTGCTTCCAACCCACAACCTTCCCGAGCGTCCTCTCCTTTTGTGAAACACTCTGGCCTTTTATGACTACTTTTATTCCCTAGCCAAGTTCTCCAAGACAAGAAAAAACTATATAATTCCCATCAAATCTAGTAACTCTCCTTGACATGTAGAGGCACCCTTGTTCTGCAGTCACACCTGCCAGCAGATGATGGCAGGGGTCCCTGCCCATGGCAGGTAGTTGGATGGAATGATCTTTAAGCTCCCCCCAACCCAAAACACTGACTCGATGATTTTATGAAGTTACCCATTGGCACATTTCAGGTGCACGTTCATCTCCTCAGCTCCAGATTATCGTACAGGGTTTGAGACATTGCATGAATCAGACTACCTCATTTGTGCCCAAAATTGATTAAGAAACATGTATCTGAGTTATCAGCACAGAGGCAATTAGCAGCTCCTTATGATTTCTGGGTCTAAAATAGGATATTTCTTCACAGTCTGTCTTATTATGCTTCAAATCAGCTTCTCCATCCATTCCAGAGGAACCCAAGGAGGCCAGACAAGATGAGGGCAGGAGAATAAGAGGAGAAATAACACACTCATCAGAACTGAAGAGATCCAGAGTTTATCCTCTCTGTAGTTTGAGTGCAGACAACTTGTCAGAGATCAAAAAGTTTAGAACAGCTTTGTTCTGGCCTGAGCTCACAGGAGAGGTGTTTTTACTTCCAGACAACAGAAGAAGATGAAAAGGGAAGAGCCCCAGACAGACAGATTGCAAGCCAAAACCATCAGCAGCTAGCTACATCCTCCCAGATCTGCCTCCAGCCCCATATCCAGCATCCCACAGCCTTTTTGGTGAGCAGTGAAATAAAGGTTCAGTCTCATTTGGTGAGTGACAATCTGATTTTGCAAGGATGGATTCCTAAGTCTTTGTGAGCTATTAGAGGAGATGACTCCCACTACCTGCCTCACGATAGAAGCAGGGAAATTATTAAAAAATCAGAAAATCTGAGGATCTGGAGTCAAAAGAAAGTCAGTGGAAAGGAGAACCGGTCAGACATCCAAACAGAGGTCCAGATACTCAAACACCTGAATTACTGAGGACCTCTGCAAATTTTACTTTTCTTCCACTCTGCTCCCAACCAGGTACAAGACAGGATGAGAGGAAACAGCCTAATGCTGCACCTGGAGAGGTTTAAGACTGGAAATTACGGAAAATGCCTTCCCAGAAAGGGCTGCCCAGCCCTGGCACAGCTGCCCAGGGCAAGGGTGGAGTCCCCTCGCCTGGAGGGATCTGAACACCCTGTGGTTGTGGCACTTGTGTGGGCATGGGACAGTGCTGGCCCTGGCAGGGCTGGGGGAGTGGTTGGACTCAATGGTCTTAGAGGAATTTTTCAACCTTAACTATTCTGTGATTCAATATATTGAAAAGCTGCTTCTACACAATGTCCACCCAGAATGTGCTGCAGGACATGAGTCACATGGAAAAGTATTAGAACTTGTCATGACAGACCATATTTACACACAATAAGGAAGAGCTAAAGGTAAACAGGCAACCTTCATGGAAGCATTTCCTGTACTTAGGCCAAGACTTAAAAATTATTACTCACCAAACAGAAGTTTTGGGGTCAGACTGCTTTCATGTGCTTTACAATGATTAAAATAGACATTAGTTTTGGTTGGGTTTTTTTTGGTTTTTTTTTTTAAGAATTAACTTTCTTGTTATAGTAAGAGAGTGTGAGAAAATTAATACCCGGACTAATCACAGAATTTCAGAATGGTTTGGGTGGGAAGGGATCCCAAAGCCCATCAGTGCCACCCCTGCCATGGCAGGGACACCTCCCACTGTCCCAGGCTGCTCCATCCCCAGTGTCCAGCCTGGCCTGGACACTGTCAGGGATCCAGGGGCAGCCCCAGCTGCTCTGGGCACCTGTGCCAGGGCCTCACACCCACACAGGCAAGAATTTATTCCAAAAAACATCTAATCTACATCTGCCCTTCTTAACCTTAAAACCTAATGAGAAAAACTTCCAAAAAACTTCAGTCTAAATAAAACAAAACAATCCAGCTGCCTTAGAAAGAAAAATAATCGGTGTTTTCAGGTTCTTAATTTTTTCTTTTTGTATAAAAGTCTGTGCTGGTCAAAGTATCACATCAAAAAGACCTTTGAATTAATCCATTACCTCTTAAATATGCTTTTGTTAAAAATTCAACATGTTGTATGTAAGAATGCGCCAGCCAGGTGTATGCCCATGATTTCTTCATGCTCCTATTTGCTAATCACAAAATATATTGGAATATATATTTGCTATCAGAAATATGTTAACATTATTCAGTACACAAACATGATTATCTTCACATTTGTCTTGAGATATCATGGGAAAGGGTTTCTCTTTTCAGCCCAGTGTAAAGCTGAAATTCTTACCTATTTCAAAGCATACAAACTAACAAGGCAAACCCAACACCTCAAACCCAGCATCAGTATAACATTAATCTGAGACAACCCAAGAGTTAATAAGTGAATATCTGAAGGGATAAAAGCAAATTGGACCTCCTGGACTTTCAGTTTCTTGCAGGTATATACAAAAATGAGAAGATTTGGGATTAGTGTGTAAAACATCCCTGGTTAATCGTAGCGAGGACTATCCCAAAGCCCCAGCTCTCACCTTTATGCTTCCCCCAATGAGATCCGGTGGCTCTTCATCTGTTTCTAAGGCAACATTGATGGAGGCGAAGGGGCGACTTGCCATCTGTTGCATCTCACGCAGTAGTTGCTAATTTATTAAAGAGAAAAATATTATCATCATATTGTTCCGACACACAGATGAAAGACAAATGTATCTAAAAGGTTTTGCCCGATACCAAGGGACATCAATGAATATGGAAAAATAACCTCCAGGGGCTTTAATGGCCTTAAGAATACACAAAATGGTAAATAGTCACATTACTACAATTTAACAAGTTATTGTAATGCACAATGTGAGCGTGACACATCTGGGAGGGAAAATTATTTGACTGAGTCCCCATAAAGCAGTTATTTACTTTTTAAGCTGTTGTTTGTCATCACCTGTCTGATTCCCACTCCATAGGATTTGTGGGAATTATTTTAAAATTAAACTAGCAGCAGTATGCAACTACTGTAAGAATGAAGTTGCTGTTTTTATAACAGCACCAGCAAAACACTGTCAGGTTTCTATTGAATAACCCCCTTTTTTTATTGTTTCCTTGCTGAATACAGAAAATGGCAAACATATCATTATTGCAAAATGCTTTATTAAAATATAAAAACCTTTTCCTGGGCAAATCCCCAAAAGCCCTCGTGACACAAGACATCTCTTTATTGTGCTTATCTTAAGCAATTCTAAGAATTTCGATGCAGCTTCCCCTTTTTTAACACACAAAACCCAGATAGTTTCTACACAGCTGGGCTGGAAATAGCATTTCAGTTTTAGCTGAGCTGTGGACACGCTTCTTTTTGGCTCCAGTGACTGATCTCTGATAGTGACAACACAGCCTGACAGGGGAGGCAAAGCCAGAATTCCAGGAGGCAAGGGGTCCAATGGGACTCAGTGTCTCCATTCAATAAGGGAAGACGCAAACACTTTGTGCAGCATGAGCAGTGCTCTTAACCTTAGATGAAGAAACTGCCCAATGCTCTCACACAGATTTACACATTTACAATCATTACTTATTACAGCAATACCAGTTATCATCTGTTTTTAAGCTGGACGGAGGCACCACCAAATGTTCTCCAGAACTCCCACCATTGCCAGCCGCATTTTCCCATTAATTCTGGGCAATCTGACACTCCAAGCCCAAACTGATCCTTTACAGAACTCAAAAAGCACTATAAAAAACCCCACAAAATGCATCGTGCCCCAGTATCCCCATGCAGCACAGAAGAGGGTGAAAGGAAGGTGCTGCTATCCAGCAACATTGTTGGGAACTAATTCACAGCATCAGCCAGCCCCAGAATGGTTTAGATTGGAAAGGACCTTAGGGACCATCCAGCGCCATCCCCCTTCCTGGACAGAGGCCCTGCCCGTGGCTCTGGGGCCACTGCTGGGCCTGCTCTGCCCTCCTGCACACAGAGACAGACAGGAACAGACTGGGACACCTGGGGACAGACTGGGACACCTGGGGACAGACTGGGACATCTGGGGACAGACTGGGACAGACAGGGACACCTGGGGACAGACTGGGACAGACAGGGACACTGGGGGACAGACTGGGACACCTGGGGACAGACAGGGACAGACTGGGACACCTGGGGACAGACTGGGACACCTGGGGACAGACAGGGACAGACTGGGACACCTGGGGACAGACTAGGACACCTGGGGACAGACTGGGACAGACAGGAACACTGGGGGACAGACTGGGACACCTGGGGACAGACTGGGACAGACTGGGACACCTGGGGACAGACTAGGACAGACAGGAACACTGGGGGACAGACTGGGACACCTGGGGACAGACTGGGACAGACTAGGACACCTGGGGACAGACTGGGACACCTGGGGACAGACAGGGACAGACTGGGGACAGACTGGGACACCTGGGGACAGACTGGGACAGACTGGGATACTGGGGGACAGACTGGGACACCTGGGGACAGACTGGGACAGACAGGGACACCTGGGGACAGACTGAGACACCTGGGGACAGACTGGGACAGCTGGGGAGACCCAGTGCTGAGGCCCCTCTCACTGGGGCTCCTCTCCAGGCTGAGCAGCTCCAGCTCCCCCAGTCTCTCCTGGACACAGGGATCTCAGCTGTGCAGCCTCTGCTGGCCTGCTCCAGGACATCCAAGTCCTCCCTCCCACGCTGAGGACCCAGAGCTGGACACAGCACTCCAGAGGTGCCTCCAGGGTTGGGCACAGGGGCAGGAGCTCCCCTGCCCCAATGGCACTGCTCTTCCTGCTGCCCCCAGGGTCCCACCAGCTCCTTGGCCCTCAGGGCACCGCTGGCTCAGGACAGCTGGCTGTCCACCAGGGCCTGCTGGCTGCTCCTCCCCAGGTGCAGGACCCTGCATTTGTCCCTGTGGAATTTCAGCAGGCTCTCTCTGCCTATCTCTCCTAGCTGTCAAGGTCCATCTGAAGGGCAGCACAGATCCCCTTGGCTCCTGCCACATCTAGGCCACTGGGAACTGCCCAGGAGCCACCCACCCCTCACCCAAATCAGATGAACCAAACAACATTGAGCCAGTAGAGAACCTTGGGACACCACTGGAGACAAGGCTCCAACCAGACCCTATGCCTCCCATTACCACCCTCTGGGAGCCTGCTGTGGTCTTTGCTTTGCCAAATCACCCATAATTTTGAGACTTTTTCACTGCAGAGGACTGTCTCTGTAACTTGGGGGTGCAGGCAAGGCATTATGAGGCCAATGGAGGTAAGCCTGGGGGGTGTATGCACTTCTATGGTTCTCAGTCTAGCTAAAAAACCCTGTAAAATTTTACTGCCATAAAAGGCATGTGGTAAAGTTTTCCTTAATTTTTGAAAGAAAAAAAGAAAGGGGGGGGGGGGGGGGAAGGCATTTTGAGCAGATTGTAGATACTGTCACGAAGCAAAAACCCAACAAATCCACACAAATGGAGGGCTCATAAGCAAACTTGTGTGTAACTCACACTTGGGAAAAAGGACACGAGGAGTGTTTGGGTATTTAAAGCACACCAGCAGATTGCAGACGAAAGCAAGTGTGAAACAGATTGCTGGGTTGTTGTTCCTGTAATTGTCCCCTTCAGCTATCGCAAAGTGCTTTGTTTAATGGCTATAAAATCAATGAACAAGCTGTCCTGATGAAGATGTCCAAGAGACTGACGAACTAAAAGCTATTAGTTCTTCAAAGGAAGTTATTTTACTAAAGAAAATGTGCAATTTGGCAACACGACTCCTATGAAGTCAAAAGTAGCTTTGAGAATATGGAATCACAGGATGGTTTGGAATGGAAGGGATCCCAAAGATTATCCAGTTCTACAGACAGAGACACCTCCCACTGTCCCAGGCTGGTCCAAACCCCAATGTCCAACCCGGCCCTGAACGATTTCAGGGATGGGAAAGACACAGCTGCTCTGGGCAACTGTGCCAGGGCCTGCCCACCCTCCCAGGGAACAATTCCTAATTCCCAAGATCCCATCCAGCACTGCCCTCTGGCAGTGGGAGCCATTCCCTGGCTCCTGTCCCTCTGTCCCTTGTCCCCAGTCCCTCTCCAGCTCTCCTGGAGCCCCTGCAGGGACTCTGAGCATTCCCTGGAATTTTCCCTTCTCCAGGGGAACATTCCCAGCTCTCCCAGCCTGGCTCCAGAGCAGAGGGGCTCCAGCCCTGGAGCAGCTCTGGGGCCTCCTCTGGGCTCTCTCCAGCAGCTCCACGTCCTCCGCTGTTGGCCCCAGGGCTGGGGCAGCTCTGCAGGTGGGCTCTCACCTGAGCATAAAAATGCCCAAACCAGAGGAAATCAGAGTCCTAGATGCAACCAAAGTAGCAAATGCCTAAGAGAACATCCTTTTCCTGACACCAGCTTCTGGTGCAGCACAAGTCAGGTTACAAAGTCTTCCCTAAAAATGAAGCACTAATTTTAGAAATAATTGTTCTTTTTACCCCAAGACTTGCACCATGCGTGTTTAACCCAGACATATATCTATCCTTCAGTATTTGTTTAGTGTGTCAAATTTTAATTAAAAGATTTTATGATGCTGTGAGAAAATGTGATTTTTCCCCAATCAAGAGGCTGAGCATGGTTTACAAGTCAGCAGCTGTTAACATCTAGATACTCCAGAACCTGCCTTTCCTTCATTCTTAACAATGGTCTTTCTGAGATTTCAAGTAATGAATCTCAATACTCTTTCAAGTAAATCCTGGTTTTCCAGAAGACATGATTAATAGGACAATGGAGGAATATTTTCAGTCACTTAGGCCCAAAGAGGATTTTAAAGACAAGGTGTTTGACAGCCTTACAAAGAAATCACATCAAAAAGCCTGTCCTAGAACACACCTCTGGCCTTCGATATGTATATAAATGGAAACTGTGAGAATGTGCACACCTTTCATTTGCATTGAGGGTGACTTTTTTTCCACAGTGCAGAATTATGGAATGGTTTGGGTTGGAAGACACCTTAAAGACCATCTTGTTCCACCCCCTGCTATGCTCTACCTTTCTCTTGGGGTGACTTTATGATGCTCATATCCCCATTCGTCTGCTTAGCCCAGAAGTGAGCTTTGCACCTCTAAGGCTGGTTCTGAGAGCGACAGGGGAGAGAAGAAGCACGAGTTTGTGTTCAGACACTGCACTCACTGCTCCACATTCCTGCTGCTGGACTGTGCTATGAGAGACTGAGGGAGCTGAGCTGCAGCACACGGAGGGATTGCTGAGTTTGTCTCTCTTTGGGAGATTGTTTGATATTGTTCATTCTTTGTGCTGGTGAATGCTTTGCCTGTTAAATAAACAGTTTTTTCTACTTTTCTCCAAAGAAATCTTTTCCCAAACCAGTTGAGGGAGGGGCTGCTTGAATTTCCCTTTGGAGGTTTTCTCCCAAATTTGCCCTAAACCAGGACAACCTTCCACTTGACCAAGCTGCTCCAAGCCCAGTCCAACCAGCCTGGAACCCTTAAAATAAAGTGATTCCTACCAGGAATATTTTTAATTCACACAATGAGTAATGGACAATCTAAAATAAAGAGTGTGTTACTGGTGGGAGAAAAACCTGCTGAGAAGGTGAGGAAAGCCTTGCCAGGCACTTGCAGGCTCTCTCAGAGAAGACAAACAGCTACTCAGGTTA